ACTCGTAGTGGGCTTCGTTTTGTCTCAAATGGCACCTTAATCCACCAAGAAATAAGGGAGAAATCAGCAATGAAAGCTTGAAGTGAAAAAAGTAAAAGAAAAAAAAGAGAGAGAAATCGAGAGCAGACAGAGTCGAGAGAGAAAAGGCAGAAACCAAACTTGGTCTCACAATTCACTTAAAAGGGACCTGGGTCCCACCTTTTTTTTTTTTTTCTTTTTCTTTTCTCTTTTTCTTTTACTTTTAAATTACACCACACACATACAATTATATACACATATGCAGACACATATATATATATATTAGACACAGACATTACAGAAGAAGTCCTGAAAATCACCATATCCTAACTTGGCTAAGGTCAAGACAGTTTTACAGTCGATTTTTCTTTTTTTTTAAAAAAATTCAAGAAATTTTTTAAAGTTGTGCAAGATAGACGAGCACTTAATTGTTACATGCAAAAACTAAAGGATCATGAAAAAAAAAAAAAAAAAAAAAATGAAAGAATAGTCTGTCAAAAAAATAATAATAAATATATTAGTTACTCTCTGAGATTTTGATTCATAAGTATTTTCGTCTGCGTTGCTTTTTCTTCTTCTTCTTCCTTTTTTTTTTTTTTTTTAACCCAGAACTCCCTGATGCAGGGCCCTTCGGACCCACCTCCAAGACACTAAACTGGAGATACTGCAGCCGGCCCCATAACTACAGCACCAAGTTAGTCGCGTCTGCATTCTCTTATTTTGCAGTCCAAAACTCCCTGAGGCAGGGCCCTTCGGACCCACTTCCAAGACACTAAACTGGAGAAACTGCAGCCGGTCCCATAACTACAGCACCAGGTTAGTCGCGTCTGCATTATCTTATTTTGCAGTCCGGACCCAACCTTTTCCAATAGGTCATGAACCTGTTTGTCTACACGTGATAATTCTCATACAATTCACCAGCACGTGAGCATCGCTCGTTCAAAGTTAACATCAGGAGGTAGGCTAAAAATGTCATTTTACAGAAAACAGCATAGCATACCGACAAAAGCGGCAAATTTGGACATGGTCTCAGAATCGAAAGTCTTGCTCTCGGTTTTGTTAAGTTCGTCGATCAAACAAAAACCATCTAAGTTACGGTACTTGCGTTTCTCAAACCGGTCTATATAGTTAAATAACCGTAAATATGGTTTTGTCTTATCGTTAAATAAGGTTTATTTATTTATTTCTTGTAGGCATCTGTTCTTAAATTTCGTAGTTTACGATGTTTTGATCTGATAAAATTAATTTCCATTTTCACGTGATCAATCTTTGTGAGGAGAGCAGCATAAATTCGAATTTAAGAGGTACCCTGTCTCTCTATATATATGATATTGAATAATTCCTATGAATTATATGCACGCAAATGCCACAAACATGTATTCGGAAAACATTTTTATTTGTATTTTTTATTTCCTTTTAATTAATCAATATACGGGAAAAAATGTTTCCTTTATGGTTTCTTAATTTTATTAAGATGGGTCTATTTTATCTGCATTTAAAGAGTATATATATATATATATATATATATATATATATATTTGTGTGCTTGTGTAGGGGTGTGTGTGTGTGTGATCGTTACTCTGCAGGCCTCCACTCAACAACAGCAACATTGGATGTTTGGTCCTTTGTAAGGAAGATGGGAATTAGGAAGTTATATGTTAGATGCTTTTTTTGTTTTTTTTTTTTTTCTTTTTCCCAAGCTGATAGAAATCTCTAAGTTAGAGTCTAAGGAATTAATGATGAAGAGTAACGGTGACGAGAGGATCCAAGTTTACATTTAATGAGCCAGTTTGTACGACACTTCTAGTAATATCATCTTTGTGAGGTGAGTAATCAAACCATCCAAATCATTTATGTATTCATTAAATTTTCGTGATAACATTATATTACACTTGAAATATATTGAGTAGCCTGACAAGAAAAAGATGTGTGAAATTTCATAATCAAAATGTTTTTTTTAGGTTCCTTTGAAAATTTTGTTACACAATATTGATATTCTTATTATATATATTGATTTTATCATATAAATTTAGTTTCATCAAGGGTGGGAGAGGATTTTTACATTTCTTAAACAGAAAAATACTAAGCAATTTGCAAATGCGTAAGAAGCATTTCAAGACATTAGATGCACGAGGCTCCCGCCATTGTGGGATTTGGGAGTGTCAAATATACACAACCTTACCTCCACATGGAGAGATGTTTTCCAGTTTTGAACTTGTAACATCTAGGTCATAATGCAATAATCTTACCATTGCGCCAAAACCCATTCTCATTTAAAGAAACTGGATAGTACAAAAGGAAGAAAAAGTATAAAAAGTTTTGCAGTTATTAAATTAAGGGTTCCCAAGTTCCCAACTCCTAGGAAACACGTGTTCCATAATAAATTTCACTCATACATATACTCTTTAGATGTCATCAAACCCATCATATAATTGTTCATATTCTTATTCTAGTTATCACCTTTTCTTTGTGTCATATAACCAAGGATTTATTTGAATCCTCTAAATACAGTTGCCTTCTAGTTTTAGGTTCCGAGTGAGTACCCCCCTTCAGCTGCAAACTCCTTCCTTGTTTTTGTTTCCGAATCGATGTTCTTTCGATTGTTTTGTCTCTTGGTTCTGCTTTTTATTCTACTAACAATTGTGTACTTACCGGATTTGCATTTTTATTCTTGTTTTGGCTCCTCGGATGAGTTTCCTATAAGATAATGCTTCAGAGGAGGTTGAAACCACTTGAGCAGGTTTTTGGTGTTTGCATGTTGTAGGAATATATAAAATAAAATCAAGGAAGGTAAGTTATAAAGGTTAGGAAGATAATCCACATACTGGTTCCGTAGGACAACTTGCAATCTGAATAGCAAGATGTGCTCATTAGTAATCCTCCTTCTGATGTTAAACGATTGATGAGATTTTGGGAAGTCTTGTTTCAACAGAATTATTTAGAGCTCAGCCGAGTGAGATTTGTTTGATTGACTGGAAAAATATCATAAAAATGATGCAATTCGAGATTTTAATTTTGAGCAGTTCTACAAAGGATTCAATACTTTTACCTCCCACTTTATTGTGAGAAAAAAGTTTCTTCTACATTGAGGGGCCGTCTCTTGGTTCTTTAGAGAGAACTTATGAAGGCAAAATTTGAGCTCTTTCTCACTATTTTTGGTGACATTTGGAAGAGACGACCTGTGAAGCTAAGGCGATCCTCTATAGCAGAAGAATTTTTTGTTTTCTAATACTCCATAGAAGTTTGTCATTTAAAACAGGGAGTTTCGTCGTCTTCTTCTTCACAGGTAAGAGTGGCGAAGAGTTCAAACTACTGACCCTTGTTTAGGTTTTTTTTATTATATAAATTCACTTCTTGATAGTGTAGAAAATTTTGGTTTACACCCATTTTAATCATCTATTTAGACTAGAGATCTATTCTCATACAGGGAAGAAATAGCCGTTATCCGATTTCACCGACACCTCATTTGGTATAGTCTGACAAGCCTCTCTGTATCCCAAAAGTCTTTGATCCTTAGCATAGCATCTCAGTTGCTTTGATAGCCTGGTTCCTACAGGTTGTGGTCAACAAAAACTTATAATGGGGGCGACAAAAAACTGGATAATTAGCTATTGATATTATTATCTATTGAGAAATAAGTACAAAACCTTTTCTGTTGACATGAGAGCAAAAAAGATTGAATTTTGAAGGATTTTTGATAATTTTTGAAGTGGTCTTTCTGTATTATAGGATGTCGGGTTAAATTTTGTTCTTTTATAAATATATGCATTTTCAGTTTTTTTTTTTCTGTTTTACAAAATGTATATGTTGTAGATATTATTACAAAAAAAAAAAAAAAAAAAAAAAAAAAAACTACCGTATAATTTTTATAGATTTGGGAAAGCATAAGATATGGTTTCCTAGAGGTATAATATGATGGGTTTTAGATACGAAAAAAGTTACCTTAACAGATTTGTTAGGCTGCTGAGGGGCATTCATGATGAGACGATGGTCGTGGTAAGAAGAAATGCGGGATAAACAAGTGATTCTCAATTATTATAGGTTTACATAAAGGATCTATATCTTTTTTTCCCTAGGTATGGATGAAGTAATAAAACAAATAATGACGTTTCATGATGTATCATGTATGCTATGCTATGATATCATTTTGATTGATGAAACTAGGCAACTAGAGTAGCGATAAGTGCTAACTAGAAGTTTGGAGAGGAACTGAGTAAAAAAAGGTAAGACTAAACCTAATATGTGTGTGTATCTTTCTTGATGCAACTTGGATAAAAGTTCGTGTCCGGTAACTATGTCGTATCTAATATGTTTTTGTAAAATTGGATATACAAGTGGGGATTTAGAATAGATCAATTGTCCAGAAACACCAAAAAGCGAACATTTTTGTTATCTAGGTTCGATTATGCATAGAGATGGAGAAATTGGAGATGGCGCTAATCATATATATAAAGCAGGATGGGTGAAATGGAGGAGTAATTCTGGCATTTTGTGTCATTTCCTTATACCTCTAAAAATTTGAAGGAAAATTTTTTAGTTCAACTATTACACTAGCTATACTTGTAGGGCAGAATGTTGGACGGACAAAAACAAGTTCTTAAAATGAGTGTCAGGATTGCAAATGTTTTTGTGAGATGGTTGATGTAGTAGTGCTAATTGGAGGTAAAATGAGATGGTCGGCCATGGGCAACAATGGTCTATAATTTTTTTTTGATAAGTCAACAATGGTCTATAAATGTACTGATTAGGAAAAATGAGGTGGTTTTTGTTGAGGGTAATACTAGGGAAGGGGGACTAAAATTAATGAGTTGATGGTGTGATACTTTAAAATATGAGACATGGGTTGATCAGGCTCAAGTCCAAACCCGAGGAAAATATCAAACATTCAATATATAAACGAACACAGAATATAAAAAAAAATTAATTTAAGAAATAAAAATTATAAAACTGAAGAAATTACTAATATAAAATCCTTATAATGATAAAGAATAAAAATATACTCCAACTTTCCAAAACCTCCATGAGTACAACTCGGGAATCCCTCTAGTGGACCCCTAAACATAAGTACAACTGAAAACGAATTACTGAAAATAAAATCCTAAACTAAAACATAGAGAAAAGTCATAAGTAAACATTTGAATGAGTGTCTGTCTTCGATACGCATGATCAAGCTCTACGGTTGGAACCGTCCGGTACCTGAAAAGACTATAAGAGTGGGTCAGGCCCATGAACAAGTTCTAATCCAACTGCAATCTATATATACAGTGACCCGATACGTAGATACATCCTAGAAATCTCGCAATATCTAGTCTATAAGTATATATATCTACACTAAGGGACATTCACTGGACTACAAAGGGGTCTCAACCTGAATAGAAGGCAACACGCAAAAACGCACCCAAAGATAGGCACAAGTGCCTAAACCTAACAGGGTACACCTCAACCTATAATAGCCAGCTACTCATCCACTGCATATATGCACCCTAATCTACGAGCCTGAGACTCAAGCTCATCTCGTGATATCATAATCATATATTTAAAGTCCGATCTAAACCAAAGTATGTCATTCAATTGTTCACTGATCTGACATACCGTTCATAATCCAGATAGCCACTCAACTTATTCAGTTGATATGACTTAACTACATACAACAGTTAATCCATGCAGTCACTCAACTTGCTCAGTTGATCTGACCTAAATCTAAGTAGGGTTCAATGTTTACAATCCATTCCCTTATTCCAATACGGTAGGTCTTAGCGTTTTGAGCTAAACCACTCCTAGTATGCCACCGTCCCATACCGATGCATACAATCCTCAACATCCATGTAAATTACAAAACACAAATAATAGTTCAGCAATTTACAGTCATAATCCAGATAATTGCAAAATAGTGTTAAATATTTCAGTAATTAAAATCCGAACGTTAATCCATGTAATTGCAGAAAAGAGTTTAATATTTCAACAATTAACATCCAGAGTATGCATAAATCAAATCTAATAAATAAATGACCCTATCATGCATCAAAAATAAGATTTATAAATATACTATATCCCATTAAATTGCTAAAATTAACCTAAGCAATTAATTTCCTTCCATCCGTTAACAGCATAAAAAGTGCATAAATTTTATACTACTCGTCCCATTAACTTAGAGGTAAAGCTTATTCAATTAGAGGTCTTAATAACACCCAAAATTAAATACTTAATCCCTCTGTGAAGTCCCAGAATTAATCAGAATAGTTCAAACCCTCAAACAGTGTCAAACAGTGCATCAAAAAAATTCCAGAAAGTGTAAAATTGAGAGAGCCTGCTCTATGAACTTGGGAGCAGGCTCCCTAATGCATGGAGTCGGCTCCATGCCTCTTGGAGCCGGCTCTAAGGGTGTGGGAGCCGGCTCCCACTTCCATGGAGCTGGCTCTCTCCCCCTCTGAGAGCCTCTAGTCCAATCCTTCTCTGTTTCCGACCGCCTGCTTTGTCTCCGACTGCTTCCAACCTTACCGTTCTTCATCTAAACTGAACCTAGGGATCTTAAATCTCATCTAGTATTATTCTAGACCTTGGTTTATAACAGTAAGACTCAACAACAATGATTAAAACGGTAGCGACTTGTTATGCTAAAAACAGACGATAAACTCCATACATGCAATAATTAATTCAGATAAATTCAACAGACAATAGATAATCAATTTAACATATAATAATCATGCAAGATTCAATTAATGTTCAATTAATCTCCTAGAGCCTATCTAGGTGCACAAAACACAGGCCAAGGGGAGAGAGAAAGAAAAGAACTTGCTTGTGATTTCAGTTATGAAATCTCGGCGTCGTCTCTAAATTTCTGGCAATACTGAATACCGTCAAACCTCCAACTGCTATGGCTCAAATCCACAATCAACATCCTTAGTCCCCTCTGTTTTCCTTCTTGGTAGCCCTAACTGTGCCTCTATTCTCTCAACCCTCTCTTTACGTGAACAGACTATGGTTATGTGTTTAAAACCCTAAGCCACCGTAATAATATATTTATAGGCTTAGTTAAACTAAAACCCTAATTCTAATTTTAATCCGAGAAGGAAAAGATACTAATTAAATGTGTAAGCTAAGTCGGCCAAAACGTGAATTCTAATTTAAAGCTATAACCATTACACTAATTTAATACAATAAAAGAAAATACAAAATTCAATTAAACAACAATTAATCAAATAAATAATTAAAACAATTACCAATTAATCTATTAATCAAATCAAACAAATAATTAAAACAATTAACAATGAATCAATTAATCAAATAATCAAACAAAAATTAAAACAATTAACAATTAAGCAATTAATCAAATAATCAAACAAAAATGCACAAAAGCAATAATTAAAATGCCGATATTATCCTTTTAAAATTAGGGGTATTACAAATGGTAAGGAAAAATATGATAGAATGTGATTAATTGAGATTAACGTTTTACTGTCAATAACAAAAGAAGATTCATACAGCCAGTAGCCGGCCCAAATAGTTGGAAAAATACTTTATTGAGGGGAGTTTAAATTCAGATTTTTGCAGCAATGATATTGCTAACACATTCGTGTTTAAATGCTATATCATTCCACTTCTACTACTTAATTACATGTTCAATTTTGTCCTGTTATTAACCATTGAAGAACTTTGGCCTGTATTTGTTTTTTTCCCCCCTGAATTACTATTTTCTTTTTGTTTTTATGAAAATACAAAAGACAGAATGGATCAGCAATTGTCAGTACTGCAGCTCTGCCATATAGTGCAAAACTCGTATGAACAAAAGCAAATGACTGGGACACCTGTCCGAGGATCTGTTCTTGCATCTGCTGGGAACATGCAGGCCTGCTGGTCAGCCAGCTGGGGTTCAACTTGCACAGCACCATCTTGCCTATCAGCATATTTACCAGCAGCAGCAACAGCAGTTGCAACAACAACTCCAGTATTTTTGGGCAGGCCAACACCAAGAAATTGAGAAAGTTGCTGACTTCAAGAACCATAGCCTTCCCTTGGCAAGAATGGAGAAGATCATGAAGGCTGATGAGGATGTAAGAATGATTTCAGCCAAGGCACTAATTGTATTCACCAGAGCATGTGAGATGTTCATTTTTGAATTGACTTTGCGCTCTTGGAATCACACCGATGAAAATAAGAGGAGGACACTCCAAAAGAACGACATCGAAGCGGCAATACAATGCCTTTGACTTTTTGGTCGACGTTGTGCCAAGGGAGGATCCAAGAGATGAAGCACTTGCATTAATGCCCGATATTAAGAACAACCTGTGGAGAGCAAGCTTTCATGGTATGTTGAGATGAAGTATATCATATGGGAAGGGAAAGGCTTTTAATCAGCAGTGTCCTCTTGTTGACTGAGGGTGATGGGGGGATTGGATTTAGATTTAACCTCTTTATCCGTCCTGAATAACAAGGCTAAAGGTTTTCTTATTAATGTTACACTAACATTTGTTACGATGACGTCCTCAGATCTGAAGCATGTTCTTTTACTAAATACTTAATAAAATTTAACCGTGAAAAAACGTGAACCGAAAATGAGTAGGACAAGTGATTGTGATTGTATAAATCTCGTGACCGGTTTTCATACAGAGAAGATGTCGTTTTCACCTCATTGAACAAACAGCTAGGGGGGTTTGTACAATTATTTCTAATCTTATATGTGAAGTTTTCCTCTGTTTAGGACTATATTTTAATGATCTCAAATATTTGGGATCTGCATACATTTATGAACTGGTTCAAAAGAGAGTACTTTTGTTTTTTCAGCAGTCTCATTAGGTGTTTATTGGATATAGTTTTGTTTGGAGCAGAAGTTTTGACTAGTTTACTGGTGTATGCATCTCATTGTCAAGGAGCTTAATCATATTTTTATATAAATAGATCGAAAGTGTATGGATATATATTGAAACAAATAGCAGATGGATCAATGGATGGATATACAGATTAAAGAGTTCGTGGGTATAGAATATTATGCCAACACTACAAGGCATTGTGCCCACGCTTTTCACATATTATACATACAACTTCTTGTTGAGAATCTTTCTTTGATAAGCGGGTAGTGCCAGTGAGCATGTCATGGAATAAGGGTCTCATCACAGACAAGATCACGGGAGGTTGGGATCCGCAGCCCTCTTTATTCAATTAGGAGGAGGAGGAGGAGGAGAAGAAGCGCAGCCTTTCGACCTCAACTACGAAGAAATACATCCCGGATCCTTTGTTGATATATATTCTATTGAGGCTATTAGAGGTTGAGCAGTCCTAGAGTTCAGTGGTTGTGAACACTAGATACAAGCAAAACCTAGTCATGTGCAGTTGGGATTCAAAAACTGAACTCTATATATATATATATATATATAATAAGTGAACTACATGGGCATTAACCCAGATAGTCTAATCTCTCAGAGCTCTAGTAGGGACAATATTGTGGGCATGTGCGCACTCGTTTGCTTGTAACTTTCGAGAAGAAAATAAAAGTTACCGGATAGGAGTTAAAACATTTTTGCTTACCCATTTCCCTGCACAAGAGCACGGGCAAGGGGGAGAAACATGACAAAGGTGGGGTCGGGCCTAATGAAGGATCCTTTAGAAAGTAGGAGTTGAAAGGTTGCAAAATACCAAGAGTTTTTGCTTCAGTGGCATCCAACACTCAAAACAATCCTTATTAAAAAGGATGATCAGTATGCTCTGTTCATCTATCAAATGCCTGCATCCATATCGATAAGCAGGAGTTAACCACCCACAAAATATATCTTGACCATTGTCCTAAAGGTTCAGTTTTGCACCACAGCAATGCCATTCACGTTCACAACTCAAAAGGGTTATGGGTTCATAAAGGTCGGAACATCATGCCCCAAATGTGTGTGTGGTGGAGGGTTCAGTTTTGCACCACAGCAATGCCATTCAAGTTCACAACTCAAAAGGGTTATGGGTTCATAAAGCTCAGAACATCATGCCATTAGAATGTGTGTGTGTGTGTGTGTGTGTAGAGGGTTCAGTTTTGCACCCAAGCAAAGCCATTCAGGTTCACAACTCGAGGGTTATGGGTTCATCAAGCGCAGAACATCATGCCATTAGAATGTGTAGAGGGTTCAGTTTTGCACCACATCAATGCCATTCAGGTTCACTACTCAAAAGGGTTATGGGTTCATCAAGCTCAGAACATCATGCCATTAGAATGCGTAGAGGGTTCAGTTTTGCCCCACATCAATGCCATTCAGGTTCACTACTCAAAAGGGTTATGGGTTCATCAAGCTCAGAACATCATGCCATTAGAATTTGTGTGTAGAGGGAGATGCTGCAGAACTTTAATACTTGTAACAACTCGAACCCGAGGGTTCGAATCGCTAATCAGTTCCTTATCCGAACCCGAGGTCAACTAAGGGCACTACCGTCCTTTCCTATGTCGGTACATAATACAATTAATAATTATAATAACAATAATGATAATGATGGGATTATAGCCATAAAATATGTCAAAAACAATCCACTAACCCGTCAAAACCTGTGGAGGAGCGTCGTCCGCTATTTCCCTTTCTTATCCTGAAAAATGTTAATAATAGAATGGGGTGAGCCGATCGCTCAGTAGGAAGTGTCTAAGACACACCTCTTACGATCCCGTGAATCCATACGAGGAATAGAATACAAGTAAATGGGATCATGCCCCGGGGAAAGCAAGTAAAGCAGCGGTGATATAACAAATACATACGCAAGTCGTTTACCACCAAATATACAATGTATGCCAACGCAATGCCATGCCATGCAATGTCGTTCCCCATTTCTGAAACAATACCGTTTTAACTTCCAAACCGTTAGTGCAATCCGCCCCAAGGTACCTCCAAGGCGTCACAAATGGAGGGTTGACTAACTATCCACGACCACAAGGCACCTCCAAGGCGTCGCATCCAGCTTAGTTAGCTCAACCATACTCCCTTCTAGGCTACACTAACAACACGGACCACTAGGCGCCTCCTAGGCGTCCGGTTTTCGCAAATACCTTTAAAAATATTTTCCCAAAAACAATTTCATTTATTTTTAAAATAAACTTTTCCCTTTACTTTCCCAATGGTAATGCATGAATTATGAAATTCCTTCAATGCTATGACAATATAAAAATTTCATACATATCATCCACATCAATTAGACACGTTTAAAACATGAATTTCCACACAATATCACATTCTTACATTTCTAATTCATGGTATTTTAATATATACAAATCCAACAACTTAAATACATAATGCTTAAATTAACATCATTTAAGCATGTATCATTTCAACAACGCGGCTATCACATAATCACACACTTTCTACAACATAAAAAAAATCACATATACAATATATAAATTACATCTCAAGAATTTAACACAATATAAACATGCTTGTACATCAATTAAAGGAGATTTACTCACAAAGCTCAAAGAAATGGGTTTTAGAACATCCCTACCTCAATTTTGTAAAATTCCTTCAAATAGGTTCAAATTTTCGAAAATTCTTAGAGTGGCCAAAAGCTGAAATTGCTTACATCAACTTGAAGATTTCACCGAGCTCTTCAATTTGCCGCAAACGGCACCCAAAAACTCCAAGGAATGAAAGAGAAATTGAAGCTTGAATTTTGCAAAAGAAAAAAAGAAAAGAAAAAAAAAAAAACAGAAAGGGAGAAGAGAGAATCAGATCGGGAGAGAGAGAGAGAGAGAGATAAGGTGATAATGGCCTTTTGGCCAATAAAAGCAATTATGGTGAGTCCCACCATTTTTTTTTTTTTTTCTTTTTCTTTTTTAACATTAATTATATACCACACACACACATATATATATATATATATCATAAATATTACAATACTTTAATTTGGTCATTGCAAATATTTACAAACCACCACCAAGCCAGTAGCTTAGTGGTATCCCCTCCTTCCAACGTGAAAGGTAGAGGGGTTCAAGTATCCCAAGAACATGGACGGAGATCTTTGTCAGGACAAAAAAAATTCAGAAACTTTGCAAACTACCACCAAGGCCAGTAGCCTAGTGGTATCCTCTCATTTCAACGTGAAAGTAGAGGGTTCAAGCATCGCCAAGAACATGGACCGAGATCTTTGTCAGGACGAAAAAATACAGAAACTTTACAAACCAGAAATTCTAATTGAATATATACAACTACATGCTTGGGTGAAAAGTTTCTTGACTATAACACGATCTTAATTACTAGCTTTGCTGTTGACCCTTCATCCCAATTCCTTCAAGAATTCCATCAGTACCAAAATTACCAGAAATTTTTTGAGGATCTACTGGACCTGGCAGCCTAAAAGAGATGGATAAGTGGCCTGGTGGACAGAGGTTCTGAGATTGCATTTCGAACATTTGGGAGTACCTGGAAACTGTTTTTTCACCTGTGGTTGTCACTCCCCTTATCAGTACTTTGCCATCATTTTCGACTTCGCAACATAGTACTCCTACAATAAACATATCGTAGTCTCCATCAATGGTAGTGAAAGCCAATAAGGGAAAAATATAGAACTGAGACCAACAACATAGGGCAGTTTATATAGTCTAATTTTGCGATTTTATATGAAGGGCCAGAATGATCATTGAAAAGAAGAAAAGAAAAAAGGGAGACCACAAAAGCGATAGTGCAAAGCAGAAATAACAATTTCATTTTTATGAAGAAAAAAAAAATGGCACATTGTAATAAGCAGGGACTTCAAAAACCAAAATGACATCTGCTTATAATCTCTCTTACTAATGTTATTCAGATAAATATAGTTCAAGTATGCACAATATAAAAAGAAGCCCTGAAAATAAATTACTTTGACAAAATAGATAACTATGCATTAACAACTACCATGGAAAGCTATGCCCCTATCCATCACATTTTACCAATGGACACTAGTCTAGATGGTATAAGCTCTCCTCTCACATGGGGAGGTTTGAGTGTTGAAGCCTCAGTAGGGACAAAATATAGTGGTTGTGCGCGTTTGCTTGAACTTTCGAAAAAGAAAAAAAAATCCATCTAAAGTAATGATATCCAGTGATTGGTAAAATCTTTAATCTGGCAAAAAACTTGCTTTCATCCCTCTTCGCCCCAGGAAGGGACATGCGGAACAGGTAGGAATCCTCACTTTCCCCAATGTCAATAAGTCCAATAACTGGTCCAATCTGCCCCATTGCTGCACTCCCTGTAAGTGCAGATCCACTTTTGGTTGCAGATAGAATGTCTTCCCACTATTCCATGGTTGGATGAGAAGGAAGAAATATCATACTTGGCCTAAGTGGCTCCCCAAGCGTGGTGTCTACTTCTGTTGGCAATGGAGCCATATAACTGTGTCGAAGGCAAACCATTACAAGGTAGTCTACTGATAGGTTTAATAGCATGTACATGCTGCAGACCATCTTTGGGCTAAGGGACGTCATTTAAGTGATCTGTTGTATGAGAATTATGACAAGACCTAAGGATTGGCAACATTCCATTAGATTCAACCTCCTGAACTTCCACGTCGTATAACACATCGCCCTTCACAAGAGGGTGCAACCTTGCGCCATCTCTATCCAAAAGGAAATCTTTAACCCGGTTAGCCTCTTAAACCTTTCAACATCCTCAGGCTTAATTTGATCTTGATCAGTACCTGATTTGGACATGCAATCTCATCTATATTAAGTTTTTGATCCGATCACTACTTGAAATTGATTGATTTTTTTTTTTTTTTTTTTTTTTTTTTTCTAACAAAAGAAGAATTGATAAGATACTCACACATCTACACTACTCCTACAAAAATTTGAACTCAACCTTTTAATTTGAAATGTGGGAAAAATCACTGCACTATACAACCTGTGGTAGGAAATTGATGAACTCTCTGCATGGTGATAAATGAATGTGAGGTAGAATAATCAATACATTGATTTTGATCATGTACATTCAAAATTTCAAAGGACAACAGAATGCAACACGAATAATCAATCTTGCTGCTCACCCATATATATGAGCTTTCCCACCTTGAGGGTGACGAGGATTCACATAATAAGTATAAACTATAAACAATAGCGTTCATCAACATTGTGTAAAATCTGAAATTTCATTGACTTCTATGTGGTGGTGTTGTTCTTGAAAATGAGGATACTTGTACTCCGGAGAAAGGTATGAAGTTGCATTAGTATTCAATAACTCTGGCCATGGTCTAATACAAAGAAATGCACATAAATGTGTGTGGGTGGGTGGGTGGGTGGGTGTGTTATGATGCATAGTAATTAACTTAGCATGCATACTGTAGACTCAGGGAGCACTATATAAGTTAAAGTGTAATGGAGTATCAATTACCAACCTACAAAAACAGAAGGGTTCCTCTGTAACCAGTATCCACAATATCAAATAATAATTTAGCATGCATATTGCAGACTAACGGAGCGACATGAAATGTATAGCATTTATCTTTTCCTGAATTTATATTATATGTAGCTCCTCTGTGTTGATACAATGCTGAAAACCAAAAATGGAATACATTTATTTGCAAAGGTACAAAATCCCTTTAGATTAGAACCATAAACGAAGCATTTTATTTAAAATGAAGCATTCCCACAAGCTTTTCATGCATCACTGACTCGCTGGCTATCTTTGACTTCTTGCCTTCTACACCCAAGCATATATATATACACTCAGAAAGAAGCACAAACTCTCTGATAGCTTTATACTTGGTCAGCCACATCAAAATTCTTATGTATAAATGCATTCCAGATGACAATAATGGATTAGATTGTCATCTTCTTCACTAACTCTGCCTCCCAAAATCGCTTGCTCAGGTAAAAAAAATCAACCATGCAACCATATAGTGCTCTATCTCTGGCATTGTACCATAAAAGACCTCTCATTGATGTAAATTGTCTTTGCTCTTCCACCATACAAGATGTCCACTTGTACTTAAAACCCAAATGTTGTGATTTCATCACAGTTAAAATGCATTCATCGCTTCTTCACCATAACCATGCATAGTAAGCCTATAAAAATGTTCCATCCTGCAGGAATCTTTCTTTTCTTTTTGCAAAATGCAAAAACAATTATTTGACAAAAGTGTCCTGCTGGACAGCGGGTGGTGGATGCCTTGTCCTAGAGTGCTAGGTTTCTTTAAACTAAATTTTACACGTGTATTATTACACATCACAGCCCCCAAAAGAAACAAACATCACCTATAAACCAGTCACAACATTATTAATTTATTAGACATATTTATAATAGTTCAACAGTCAGCCATGACTAGAATCCATGACTTAGCCCTAAAAAGGAGAAAAAACTAAAATCTCATGCTACACCATGATAGACAAATGGTAATGCATGGTTCAAACACTTCCCACTAAACATTGTATTGCATAATTTTTCCCATGTAAAATAAAAAACCTTCCTTAGCCTCTACAAGATGCCATAGGTCTATTGAAGAATAAACAGCAAATTCCTATACATTCTTTAGAAATATAGAATTTCAAATGGTGGGTAATGAGACGAGAACCAACAAGCTAGCTCCTAAGCTCAATGTCCTTAAAACCTCCCATAAGCATTACCAGACCATTTTTTTGTTGATATGCTTTGCAATGGAGCTAGTCCAAGCCACCAAATTCCACTTGAGAATGCATCAGATACTCATAATCCTACTCTCACATTTGCACCAGATACATACGTATGTAGTATATAAGTATTACAATAAACATCCGTTTTGCCTGAACCCCCCTCATTTGGTACAAATGCAAGGATGATGATGCTGATAAACATCCATTTGAAGTCTATTTTTTCCATGTGATAGTAAATGCAACTACATTGTTGGAGCAAAAGTATGTATGCATGTTGAGTGAGAAACACGTTGACAAGGCTTGTGGAGAAGCAACAAGATGCATGAAAAAGGGTTAAGCACCAATGTTATTGTTTCAAGATATCAAAGTTTACCGCTCATGCATGTAAATTCAACAGTAATCAATACAATGTTGTAACCAATTTCAGTCTATTATATTCAAGAATTCTCAAATCTAGGGTTTTCCTCAATTCAAAGAGTAAAGAATCTGATTGCCAAAATGAACAAAGAAATGAATTAAAATATATATATATATATATATATATATATATATATATATATATATATATTAAAAAAAACTTATACTTTAAGAAGTACCTTTTCTATTGCATTGCTCTTCTCCTCCTCCTTGTCCTAACAATCTCCATTGCCCTACAACCCTTAGCCCATTTCTGCAAATCTTCTCTCTTCAACCCCACACCCACCAACAGAACACTAAAACAAAACCCTAAAATCCAATCTTTAGCCCCTCTCTTCCACCCATTAATCAAAACCGCAAACAGAGCCAAACCAAAACCCAAACCCAAACCTCCCCAAAACACATCCTTATCCATTTCTTTCCCCAACACCAACCACAACCCCAGACCATGAGAAACCCTAAAAATCCCAACTTCTTCTTTCTCTTTCTCTTTCCCTTCCTCTTCCTCCTCCACCCATCAAAGCCTCCCCCTCCAAAACCCTTAGGAAACCCTAATCTCCAGTTTTTCCACTTCCAAATTCTCCGATAAGCAAACCCAATGGCTCTGGTAAGATATTGAGATTTGACGCAACGAAACCAACCAATTCGAGTATGAATTTTCTTGATCTTTGTGACCCAAATCGCCTTTTGCTATTTCTTGCACATATAATTTGATTTTGTGTGAGAGGTTGATTCGAAAGTGAAAGCAAATGTGAAGAGAATTGATTGGGAAAAAAAGAGATTGGAGGGTCTAGTTACAGAGATGCTGTTATTTCGTAGAAAACTCGATCTTGCTATTTGAATCGAAAGAAAGGAATGCTTCTGAGATGAGAGGTTGGGGTTTGAATTGAAGGGTCTTCTGCATTTTGCTCTCTCAGTTTCTGTGGTTCTTCAGAGTAGAATGTGATATTTGTTACTGTTTGAAATTTTGGAATAAAGTGACCGATGCAAAGAGGTTTTAATTCTGAAGTATGGGAATAAGCTTTTTTGGAAAATGGTTTTTTTAGTTCTGAAATACGCAAAATAAGGCAGTTGAATCTTTCATAACTATTCAAAAACATCGAGTTAAACAATATGGTGTCTACTCATAAGTTTTTAATTTCATTTTATGAGGTAGGAGGGGATATAAAATGATAGAAATGGGAGCTTTGGCCTTTTTTTTTTTCCCTTCTCTTTTCTTTGTCATTTGGATGGAGAGTATTTGATGAATAGTCCAAGAGGTACCGTGGTCGTAGAGATTTTTGCACAAATATTTGGCATTTCAACATATTATTTCCTATTTTAATACATTAATTTTATTGAAATATTGTGTTGAAAGATGATTTAAAACATAATATCAATGGTTTTAAAACATCAGCCCAACAAATTGGTCAGATTTGTGGGCTTAAGTATTATGATTTTGTTAAAAATCACCCTATCAAGCCACAATAGAGACAAACAAAACACATTAGAGCGAATGATCTAGACGCTTGGGAGTTGAGAACCAAATACAATGTGTAAAATATTTTTCAAGGAAAAAGTTGCAAAAATTGCAATCACTTTGCTACAGTTTCCTTGTTTTCACCGCGGTGTTCTCCTAAAAAGAAGGGAAAGAAAAATTGTAGAGCTTTCTCCTAGTCCTTGAACCACATTGGATGGAAGCTTCAATGACTTCTTGAAGTTGAGGAGCAACCTTCTAGTTTTTCTGAGGATTCTTCTCTAGGATTTGTTGGATTGTGGAATGCTTGAAGTGGTATACATGAAATGATTGAGGGTTTAATTAATCAAAAGTCCACTTCCAAATTTCAATTCTGAAACCCCTCCTGTTTTATACCACATGCATTTAATTTAATTTAATTTCTCTTTCTTTAGTAATTTATGATGTGTACCCTGCCTCTTGACTTATTTATATCTCACTAAAATAATTTTTATTTGATATAAAATGTTAAACTTTATTATCATTTTGAATGTTTGACACAAAACTGCTTTATTGCACCTTTGAATTGTAAAATAATACCTTGTACAAGTAGTTAGGTGTTAAGTTTCACTTGTAACATTAGGCCATTAAAAAGGTTATTGTCAGTCCCTTCGTATTCATGGTTTTCAAAATTTGTCTACACATGTAGGAGGCACCCCCGTTGTAAGTGTTAGAAACTTCTTCCCGAGTGATGTAGGACGTCAAACATAAGTTGTAATTTTGTTAAGAAGTGAAAATTGTTTAGTTAGCTGAGGGGATTGAATAGAGCAAACCACTTGCCAATTTATTTCTCCCCAGCTAAATCTTTCTTGGAATAATAGTGACAAATTAATCATCAGAGCTCTGCATCCAGCTCTATATAAATTTATATATGGACCAACCAAGTGTATCTGGCAAAACTTTGAAAGAAAATAAAGTCTCTCATTCCAAAGCAGGAGAAGGCTACCATGGATGCAAAGAGTCTTGAAAGAGAAAATCCCACTCGTGCCTCAGTTTTTGGAGTGAAGCATGACCATTGTGTCATTTTTCCAGCCAATGTGAGTATGGTTGCACAATTTGTAGAAAGAAGAAGCAAAAGCTGGTAATAACTCCATAATCAGTGTGTGTGTGTGTGTGTGTGGTCAATAATCAATATAGGTACCTTAAAATCATCCATTCTATGCAGGTTTATTCAGACTAAAGGCAAACAAGATCGCTTTATTATACTGTGCTTCACATTTCTTCGAACTGAGTGATGATCTTGAACTAGGAAATCTTATTCCAAAAACAGAAGATTTTCTAAGTTTCGTGATTTTTTCTTCATTGAAAGACACATTTCAAATTTTAAGGAGTTGTGAATATGTCACCTCATGGGCCAGAGAGTTGCAAATCTCGAAAATATGCTCAGAAGCCATTGCTTGGAAGGCCTGCACTGACCCCAAAGCAATTTGTTTCGATTACAATGATGGAAATAACTCAAGCACACAAAGGGTAGTTGACAGTAGGTGGTTTGAAGACATTTCACCTTAGCTTGTCGGATCGTGTATAGCTCATTGGACTGTGAAGTGGCTTTCGCGAGTCAAGTTTGGACTTGACAATCTAACTCACAAATATATGACCTTCCAGATGCAAAGAGTTACTATTGAAAGTTTGACAAGGGTACTTCCTATAGAGGAAAATTCAGTTTCCTGCAATTTTCTACTTCACCTACTCAAGATTGATCTGGTTTTGAAAATTGATTTTGAATTACCCATTAAGCTAGAAAGAAGAACAACCTTCATGTTGGAGAGTTGTCGCGCCAAAGATCTCTTGGTTAGCTATGGTCAGATTGATGAGGCATATGATACGGCAGTTGTTGCTAAAGTGGGGTGGTAGCTTATGTTTCTTCTGTTTCAGATAATCCTGGATGAGCAATTCTTGCTATTGGAAGGTTGGCGGACGAGTTTCTTATGCTTGTGGCAAAAAGTAGTAATCTTGCAGCCAAACATTTTCGGTTGCTGGTTGAAGCATTGCCAAGAAATGCCCGGTATTGTGATGACAACCTCCACTGAGCTATAGACATGTTCCTCTCGGTATGCAACAATTTTCCTCTCATACTTTTGGTTAAAAAAACTGAAAAAAGTCACAGACAATTATGAGAGTGAGTAGAGGTTTAAGGAAGGCATTGATGATGAATTCCCACAAGGAGGTAAAGATGATGATAAAAGATGTTGAGACAACGAGGGTGCAACTCAATGAGTTGCAATTCTGCAGAATGGAGTTGCTATGAAGAGAGACATCATTTAGAGAGGGACTAAGTGGCCTTCTGAGAAATTTGTACTCTAGGGTTCATTGTTTTAAATTGTGTCAAGGGTGTGAGAAAATTACTATTAAGATTGTCATCAAAATTGTAATGATGATACAACACATTGAAGTGTGAAAATGAGAGTTCGTGTTCATGTATACTAGTACAAAACCTTAATAGATGGCACTGGAACTCATCAACTGATTCTATCAGCAGCCTAATGTAGTCAGAAATGAAGGTTTTCATCCGAAAAGGCTAGCTTTCTAAGAGCAAGAGGTGTGGGCAACCCAAGTTATCTACCTACATTTTAAAAAGTAGAGTGCCACGTAAGTTAAAAAGTGATGACGTGGTACTCTATTTTTTTTAATCCATATGTTCCATGGCGTGGAACCCGATTATCTCATTCTCTATTTCTTATTTTATTAATATTTTATTTAAAAATAAAATAAAAAATTTGACAATCCAATAGATTGTCACTGTAGGCCCACAAAAAATTTGACAATCCAATACACAGCAGCCGCAACCAATTAAACAAAGCAAAAAAATTGTAGAGTACTCTCCAAAGCGCACTCTATCTATAGACAATCCAATAGATTATCACTGTAGGGCCCACAAAAATAACACTCTACTTCTTCTTGCATACCACCCCCCCTCTCTCTACACTGACACTAAAACCCTCTAAAACACCTTCCGCCCCAGATGCTCTAAGTAAAGTAAACCTTTCGTGTCATCCTGGGGAAGCCAAACAAAGCTGAATTTTCGAGCAGAGGTGGAGAAAGACAAAAATGAGTTCATGACGCGACAATCTAGATGGAAGGACATTTTTGTTGATGCATTCTTGTTGAGAATGAAGAAGAAAAGAGAGAGCCTTTGCAACAGTTCAGACATTTTGAGAATCTCATCCTTTCCGCAAGAATGCATCCACATGCAAGGTAGTATAGGCATGGCATGGTCCGTACCACATAGAGGAAACAGATCTCTTCAAGACTTGAGGCCAAAGGGCTTTCACCTAATTCATCCACATGAAAGTCAAAGAAGTCCAAAAACTGAGACTAAACAACTCAAGGTACTATAGTCATGGCATGGATAATGTGAACCAAAATGTGTGCACAAAAAAGTAAAGAAAGGTGTACAATTAAAGAGAGATACCATACATTGAAAGAAAAATGGCCTTAAAGGCCTTATTACATCAATTGTCAAAATGCCACGTATACAATAAGCGGCCAGATAGAGTGAAAATCACTTTAAAACTCTATTTGAATCCCATATATGGGCCCAATGCAAGGTTCATGCTCCCTAATGTCTAAAGAAAATCTAAAATGGATCATTCTAAACTAATATATAAATAAATGTACAACCATTTCACTACAAGCAAGCATATACATCAATGATGAAAAATAAAATAAATCCCTAAATTGCAATTACACATGAAAACCAATTTGTCAAAGAAAAGATTCGATATCAACAAAATAAATAACTCGGAATACACCCACACTCCCAATCACATGACCAATATTAAACTGATATTGGCTGATACTAATCCGCTGATAACAAACTGATTGGCCAATATAAATGGAAACTTTCACCCCGAGGACCATGCCCTCACTCAAAGTAACAAACCCACAAGTACATCCGTAAATCCACAAGATAGCACATATCATTGTCTACCACATATAGTACTTCACAAGCGCACATATACGAATAGAAACCACACAAGCCCTCTAAACATGAATCAAGATCCAAGAATAAAAATCCCTCTAAAAGTTTTTGAAAATCTCTAATTCCCTAACAAATAGTAAGGTCACACACAAATCCATCCATTCAATAGGCTGGACTTTATGGATGAGATGGTGGCTGAGTAGCTAAATGGCAGATTATTATTCCCTCGTAACTTTTGGTCCTTTGTGCTTCATGATGTTTTGAATATGAGTCGTTGAACCTTATGTCAACCATCAATTTTTTTTTTTTTTCTTGGCGTAGGGTTTCTGTCTTGGGATTGCTACTTTGTCTTTTCAAGAAATATATTTAACCTTTCCCATTTTTGGTTCATCGAAGTTATTTCTAGCTAATATTATTAAAATTGTCTCCTGTAGTTGTACTGGTCTCGGCCATTCCCATAGGGGGTTACATTATAGTTTTTGTTATGAATAGCAAAGTTCTTGCTTTCTATTTAAGTTTTCTTGCTGTGGCTAGTTGTGGAGGCGGTGCTGCAATGTCATTTTCTTATATATATTATATATAGTAGGTACCAACAGGTCAGTGGCCTGGCCTAACGGTATCAGTCTCTTACTTTCTAAAGGGAGGTCAGGAGTTCAAGTCTCAGAAGAGACAAAGTGTGTGTGAGTCCCAACTATTATACACAGAAGTTAGAGAAACATGGTAATATCAGTTTTGAAATAGACAATATGTGTCCTAAGTTTCTTGCCAATAAAATAAAATAAAAATAAAAACTAGAAAGTGGATTTACATTATGGCCGTTAGATTAT